GGGCCTTCATAGTTAGAATAAGGTTCTTTTGGGTTCCTTATCATAAGTACAGTGTAACATACCTCCAAACCCTATTCTCATGATTAAAGGTCCAAACCTTATATATAGTAATAGTATAAAGAAACCCTAAACCCCCAAACCCCTTAACATTCTAATTAAGGTTCCTACATTGCTAGTGAGGTAAGCCCTACACCCTGGGCCCTAAACCGCACTAGTGAGGTCGCCTCTACGACAAAGGCGCCCTTCTCGGCCAGGTTCTGGGTTCGACGGCAGATCTCCGAGAGGACCTGAGCTTCGGGTTTTTGTAGGCTTTAGGGAATAGGGTTTAGGGTTGGGGCTTGGGGGTTTTGGGATCTCGGCGCATACACAGGGTTTGAGGTTCAGGCTTAAGCAGCAATGGCTCAAGGCTTAGAGGCTTTTGGGATTTACGATGTAAGGACCCAAGAGGACGCGAAGGGCTTAATTAATGGGATCTTACAAGGGTATCCGCCCTGAAGAACCCTGCAACGAACCGAGCACACAAAAAACCACTCTCTGAAGAGTTCCTCACACCAGAAAAGCTTCATCTAACCCAAAACCCTATTCCAATTATGAAGGCCCCTATATTACCCTAAGCCCCAAACCTCCAACTCAAACCTTCCCAGCAGCCCACAACCCACAACCCTAGCTCCGGATTCCTTTAGACCGAAACTCCCAGCTCAGCATCTGAATCCTTAATGCCAAAACCTGATAGCCCTAAGCCAAAACCATAAAATTTAATCATAAATCCTTGAACCGCCGTATCCCACCGCCTGCAGCACCCCAAACTCCCAAGCTGTGTTGAACCGAGACAAGCCAGACGTTAAGAACAACATGTGTACGTATTTTCTGTAAATAAATACATAAATAAATATTAAACGTATATGTTTGTATGTATGTATGTATGTATGTATGTATGTATATATATATATGTACGTATCTATATCCATCTATATCTAGATGATATACATCCACACCTGCATCTATACCTACATACAACAGAACTGTCCACCTATAGATCAAAATGATTGTGGATTGCGCATATGTATACAAAGCATGTTATATCTGCTATACATCTATGTGGCTATACCTAAACCCTAAGCCCTAAAACGTATCCCTAATTCTAAACCCTAAAACGTAAGCCCTAAACCCTAAACCCTGAAACCGTTGCAGGCGAAGCAACGGTATTGTCGCGGACACGGAGAAGAGCATAGGCCTTCAAGGTTTAGGGTTTAGGCCCCTAAACCCTAAACCCCCTTAGGGTTCCGCGCCACCGGATGTCAGATTTTTGGCTCTAGTGTCCATTTATAAACCAGCATTCATACTCACAACCAGGCCGTTCAAGGCTTTCGGCTTTTGGTTGAAGTTTTCAACCATCTAGAAGCCTTCGCAATTCGAACAGGGATTTGATCCGGTTTTGAACTCTCGAGTCGACCCAGTCGAGTAAGGTCTTCTTTTGTGAGGGTTCAGGGTTTAGGGTTTTATGACAGGCTTGGATTTTGCAATGGTTCACGGCTCTGGCTTATTATGTGGGCTTTCAGAGTCAGGGTTTGGGGCAGTAGCTCTCCTTGGCAGGATCACGCACGGACCGTGAAAAGAAACAGTATGTATACAGTACACATAGGTATATCTATTTATAACATATATATATATATGTATGTATGCACAAACGTGTATATACATACATATTACAGAGGGAATAACAAAGCAAAACAGAGCAAGATGAGAGAGATATCCGCCTTCTTACCCTACATTACTACATTCCTCAAACCCAAAGAACCCGTATGGAAACTGAGCGACACACCATTACACAAAACGGTTGATGGTATAAATCCTGCATGACCCATAACAAGGATTATTCAATAATTCCCCATAGTATAGGGTCCTTAAGGCAATGCAGGATTTATATGTAATCATCACATCAGCATCAAGAACAAGAGCACATAAACGTAACAGCAAATGGTAAACGACTACTCAACAACAGATATATGTTTAGTAGTAACGAGAACCAAAAACTACGTTGATACAACGAAATACAATAACGATCATGGAAAGAATGGAAGCTTTGACTAGCTACATCCCATGAAAATACTTCTCAAGAAGCGTGGTGGTAGTGGTGGTGGTAGTAGTAGTAGTAGTAGTAGTAGTAGTAATAGTAGCAGTAGTAGTAGTAGTAGTAGTAGTAGTAGTAGTAGTAGTAGTACTAGTAGTAGTAGATCAGCAGCCGTCGCCGTCGTCCTAGATGATAGTAGTTGTATTCTTAGTAACAAAAATAATAACCGTAGTACTGTTAATCATAAAAGGAAATGTAAAATGGTAGAAAGCAATAACCAGGAAAGCACGACTCCAAAAAAAAAACACTAATATTGATAACAGTCTTTGAAATTAAGTAGTACAAAGAAGAAGACGACTCTTTCTGTTAAAAATGCAGCAGTAAGAATAAGAGCAACAATGCAAAACAATAGCAATAGCACTGCTATTCTCAAGATCATAAAGATAACTAATATAGGGGCCTGAATGATTAGAATCTGGTTTTGGGACCCAATAAAAAATTAATAAGGACCCCCCCCCCAAAAAAAAATGTAATTATTTAGGCCCCTATATTACACGCCTGCGTCGCCGCGGCCAGCCCGGTCACACCAGAGTCTCGAAGCCGCGTCTGCAGTGGGTGCGGCAGCCCTCCAGAGTTTGGAGTTTGGGGCACTTGGGGGTTTTGGGTTCAGGGTTTAGGATCTATAAGGTTTAGGGCCTAAGGTTCTATAGGGTTCAGGGTTCTACAGAGCTTGGGGTTTCGGGTCTATAAAGATTAAGATTATTTAGGGTGTAGGGGTCGATAGAGCTCTATCGGGGGTTGATAGAATTTGGAAGCCCGAGGCTCCACCCCCCAAACAACCCCAGAGCTGAAAATTCTAAAATTATAAAGGGTTTAGGGTTTAGGGTTTAGGGTTTAGGGTTTAGGGTTTAGGGTTTAGGGTTTAGGGTAAACCCTCTATCAACCCCAAGCTCGTGGTAGAAACCCTAAACAACCTTTTAAAAGCATGATATACACCCTGAACGCCTTTTAATGCTATGCACTCTAAACCCGGTATACCCCTGTCGTAAAGCCGAAACCCTAAAAACCCTTTCACAAACCATCATGTTGCTCTAAGCCTCTGAATCCTGTGTGCCAGAGAAGCTTAAGGACCAAATGGCCCTTGTAAGTAGCGGTCCTATTGAAACGCTATATGGTATATAAATCTTTTACCCTAAACACTGAGCCCTGAACCCTAAACATTGTACCGGTTTAGGGATATATAGTATATGAACCTTACACCCTAAACCCTAAAACCTGAACCTTTGTAGTGTCCCCCTAAACCCTAAACCCTTTTAAGGGTTCATGTCGTCTTTAAGGTTGGCGCCTGCCACCGCTTGGGAGTGCCTCTGAAGCCTGAGAGACACCGGGCTGAAGGGGAATCTGGGGGGGTTATAAGCAGCAAGTTTAGGGTTTAGGGTTAACCCAAAACCCTAAACCCAAACGGGGTACCACAGGGGTAGTTCTCTAGCTTAAGGTTTAGGCTTTTGTTTTTGAGCGTATGGCTTACGGTTTAGCGTCGAGGGATGGTTGAACTGGTAGGTTTCTAAGTTCGGGTCCCTTTGAGGGTCCTTTTTAGAAGGGTGCCGTACCTTTGGGGCCAATTTGGAGAACTCCCCGTAAGGGGTACTCATAAGAGGTGCGATAAGGGGTAGGTACAAAAAGGGTGCTGTCAAGAGTTTTGGCAGTTCGGGCTACTGTATGTCTTAATTGGGAATCAGGGCTCTGCATCGAGGGATAGGCTTGCTGGACAAGCCTCGAAAAGCAAGAGCTCAATTGCAGGGGTTAATGTAGGGGCCTTAATAATCAGACTAGGGTCTTTGGGGCCATTACCCTATAATTACAAAATGACCACAACAAATATTACAGGTATTGTTAAGGCCCCTATATTAGGGTGTTTGAACCGGTTCAAAGGCCGAGGCTTACGACGGGAGGGAGTTACATGCCCACGTCGCAGGTTTCCAGTTGCCTGGCAAGAATTCCGGGTTTAGGATTTAGGGTTCAGGAGTTTAGGATTTAGGGTTCAGGGCTTTAGGGTTTAAGAGGGAATTGGTGATGGCACACTTATGTCTTTCGAGAGTCTTCGCACATGTAGCGTAAGGGGTGCACTTTCTGCTGGATCCTACCACTGTCAGGTCCACAGTGAGCGATGCACCCTACCTTCAGACTTCCTTCCTGCGGCCTGCAGAAGCAGTATGCCTTAACCTTGCTAGAGGCTTCAGCACATCAGTGACGCCAATGTAGCAATACATTAGTAGATACATCGATCCTGGACCCATAAGACAAACCAAGATAAATTGAATGTCAAGGCACCACCACAAGAAAATCTATGGCTACAATCGCAACGCAAAGCAACGGCAACAATAATATCAGCAACAGTGGTAGTAACAATTGCCATAGTGTAACCCTCACCGGCAAAGCCCTGATCGTAAACCCTGTTCCCTCCAGATAGCGCATCCAGTGCTGCAAGCTCTTCAGTGGTGTCTGCTGCCTCCGTGGGCTATGGATTGAGTCCAAACTTCAAAGCTTGCGCCTTGAGCCCTACTCGAAGCCCGAAAACCCAGATCCAGGAACACCCTCATTAATGAAACAGAGACCGAGGCCCTTGAATTCAGAAGCCTACCTTTTTCAACATTTCACCAGCAAAACAACCGGAAACCTGATTTCAACATAAGCTGAAAGGTGTTTGGGCTCTCGGGGGAAGCGGAGGTTGCGGATGGAGCTTTTGGGCCCGTGGTCTGAGAGACAAGATATCCGACATGCCCGGACCCTGTGTTGAACCACGCCGGTTGCTCTTTAACAGTATGGGCTTACAACTGAAAATTCTTGCAAAACGTGTAAGCAAGCTCGTATAGTTGTACATGCACATGTAGCATGACCAGCACAGCTGCTGCAGCGACACAACAGCAAATTCCCCCAAACCCTAAAGCTTAAACACTAAATCCTCGACCCTGAGCCTTAAACCCGAAAGCTTCAACACTAAACCCTAAACCCTAAACCCTAAACCGCCCAAACCTTGAGGCGCCCCTCCATCCCTGGAAGACATTAAGCCAGGACACGTCCTTGCACGTGGAGAGCCCAAAACCACCGAAATTCAGGAAACGCCTTTTGTTGTCCCCTTATTATCTGTTAAGGTATAATTAATCCTAAATTAAGGATCTAGTAAAACCCTGTTAGAAACACAAAAATGCTACAAATTCACAAGTTCGGCAGGTATTCCTACAAAGGGCCCGACAGGCCTCAGGCAAGGCTGCGATCTTTGGCAGCCAGTCCTGTCTGGCCCAGCAAATTCCACTGGGGTGTCTGGGCTGGGTTTAGTAGGATTCGGGTTTAGGGTTTAGGGTTTGGGGTTTAGGGTTAGGTTTAGGTCTTGCGTTTGGGGCTTCGGCGATAGGTTTAGATGAGGTACGGCCCCCAACCGACCACGAGAGATATTGCTAGTTCTATGAAGCTTTTGTTGTCACCCTAAACCTTAACACAAGAAGATAGGGATTGGGTCTTAAAGGAGCTAAGGCCTTGCGTTTAAAAGATGGGGCTTAAGGCATCTAGGGAATCTAGGGGTGCAGGGCGGGGCGCCTAGTTAGCACGTAAGCATAACCAGAACGCGAAGACTTTGCCAGCTCGCCGCCTCGCAACTCCACCGGACGCCTGGTTCTAGTAACCTGCAGGGTCAGATATCCTTGAACCCTTTTTGCCCTAAACGCTAAAACATGAACGCTAAACCCTGAACACCTAAAGCCTGAACCCTACACCCTGAACCCTAAACCGTATCCCTGACTGAAGGAGCTCTGACAGTTCATTGGCTTCTGAGGGGCTTCTGTAAAATCCAACCTCAAAACCTTACAAATACATACGACTGGAGGAATCAAGGTTCCTGAACCCTTGTGAGCTACAAAAAAGCTCAGCAAAGTCATATCGTTCCTTTCAATCCCAATGCTATATTTTCTATAGTCGCGACCAATACATAGTCACACCCTCCAACTACGCTTTGCCGATTCTGGTGCCGCTATTGCTGGTTGAGCTCCGGCCCTAAACCCAACACCCTAAACCCCTAAAGGAGAGATGTCCGGAGCGGCCACAAAACCAGTTTTGCATCAGGGCTTGTGCAATCGCCAGAATCTGAGCCTAGGGAAGTTCAGCTCTCATGACAAACCCTGAATCCTGAAAGCTGTAAAGGCAAGCCCTATAGGCTTTAGGGCTTAGGGTTAGGGTTTAGGGTAGAAACACGTAGCCTAAACCCTACATCCGCAACTCGAACTCCCGAGCCATCCGCTGCCCTGTCCTTGTTGGGACGGGCAGCAACTTGCCTGAGAAGCTGCCAAGCAGGGCCTCACCAAGGTTTGGGTTTAGAGTCTTGGGGTGCATGGTTTAGGGGTGTCGGCGCTCACAATTCGGACAATCCAGGCAGAGGGACTTGGGGTTAAGGGGTGTAGAGTGTAGGTTTTCGACGGGTTCGGGAATAATTAAGGGTTTAGGGTTTACAGAACTACCAACTACGACCTAAAAACTTTCAAATGATAGTTCAAGGCAATGGTAGGAACTAACCTGATACGCCTTAAAGTCAGGAATTGAGCTCGCCTGAAACACTCTTGATTAGGGCTTAGGGTTTAGATGTACCCCTAAAACCGGAATCTAGGTTCCCAGTAGCCCCCTAATATTAAGGGTTCCCTTTTTCCGACTTTTGTGTTGTAATAAGGGAACCCAAAAAAAGGCAAAAGGGTAAACTTCAAGCACATTCACTCTCTGAGGTGGGCTCTCAGGCAAAGAGACTCCATACACGTTTTAGGTTTCAGGGTTTTTCCCTCCTACTTGGCAAGGACGAGCCCGCACTGCAGGGTATGTTCGGGACCCTGGAGGGTCTAGGGTTTAGGGTTGGAGTCCAAGGGAGCGGCGCTTTGCTCGGCAGTCAAACTTGCGTTGCGGTGAGAGTGGCTATGCGGATCTGCCGGCTTAGGGTTTAGGCTTTAGCGTTTTTGGTTGACAGTTGTTGCGTCAGGCGTATTTTCGCAGTCTGTTTCACCGAAGAATATGTTCCGAAACGTGGTCAGTCGCTGCGGCACCCGGAATAAATCACACCCTTGTTGCATGCGCTGCTACTTACTGTACCTAGAGTAGAGAGAGAGAGAGAGAGAGATCCCTTTATAGAACAATTTACCTTCAGCATCGTTCAGTTATAAGCGAGCTCAAACCGATGATATAAGGTAAAGACAGTTGGACTCTCTGGGAATGTTCGTGGCGATCGTCAAATGGATCACAAAGTGAGCTGAACCCTGTCTTTACGAGTCTACGCCAGTAGATGCCCTTTTGCACAAGCTTTCCACTTCTACTGCCCTAAACCCTAAACCCTGCACCCTATTTTGCGGCTGGGCTCTGAGTGAAACCCTAAGCCTTATACCCTAAACACTAAACCTAAACCTAAACCCTACACCCTAAACCCTAAGCCCTAAACCCTAAACCTAAACCCTAAACCCTAAACCCTGCACCCTAAACCCTAAGCCCCAAGCCCTTGGTCCCAAACCTCCCTGAACCCTTTCTAAACCTCCCCATTCGAACTCAGGGCCCCTGGCACAGGGGCCTGAATAATGTCAGAATCTACGCCTCTAGTCCTGTATGTATATATATATATACACATGTATACTTATATATATATATATGTATGTAAAGATCGATAAAGGCATAGATATAGATATCAGTGTGTGTATGTATATATATATATATATGGTTTCATCAAGTGATGTACCCCACAAGCTGTTATTTTCGATTAGGCGCTGGCATTACACAAAGACACCCCCTTCTCTGAAGCCGAAAGCCACAAGAAACACTAAACTTTAAAACCCTCAACCACCCTCCCCCCCTTCCAGCTCCCACAGATCCTGGCTCAGCGCGTCGAACGCTAGCCGCTGCCATGAAAGAAAAGCGGTGGGAGACTCCGTTGGTGATGTAGGGTTTTGGGTTTGGGTTTGGGGTGTAGGTTCGGAGGTTTCATCAAAGGTTTCGGGCTTAGGGCTTGCATAGATCCTAACCCTAAATCGCTACAGCCCCAAAAGTTGTTTGCTTAAAAAACTGTTAAAGGGCTTTCTTGGGTGGTTCCTTTATCTCAGAGTAGGGCATGGGGTTTCTGGTTGGCTTACATGTTAGGTTCGTCCGGAGGGGCAGGGACCTCAAGGGGTACTATAGGGGTCAAGGGTTATAATAATGGTTACTATAAAGGGGTACTATAATAGGGTACTTTAAGGGGTACAATAATAGGTTATTATGACTACCTTCTCTTACTCAGCTTTGTAACCAGAGGTTGTCCAAGTACCCTAAAACAAAAACCCTGAACCCTGAAGTTGAACTGTTGTAGGGTATATGGCATAAACAAGAGACCAACTGCACCTTCGTTTTCATCGCACAGCTGCGGCATCGTGGATGACATGTCTAGAACATGTATATATGTGGTCACACAAAGCCCTAAACCTATACCCTATACCCTATACCCTATACCCTAAGCCCCATACCATAAATCCCAAACCCTGAATGAAAAACTGCTACACGAAGAGTGTGAGATCAGAGGTCCTCTCTTGTCCGGCCGGAGGTTCGGGACTTTGAACACCACCCTCTCTAGAGGAACTGCAAAAGGTTTAGGGTTTAGGGTTTTAGGGTCTAGGGTTTAGGGCCCCGGGGTACTCCTTGGGTAAGCTTATGTAAACTTCCTTAGGGTCTTCACCGGATTCTGGTCATGATTTAAGGTGCATCCCTTTAAGGGGTATTGGGCTCTCTGTTTGAGTGCGCCGGGCTCACCGGCACGAGACATGTCGCCGGCTCGCCATGAGTTCTTGCTGGAGAACCTGGTTCAATAGGGGTTTAGGGTTGTTAAAGTTGTAGGCTTCTGGACGGGTACTTTTCTCTGCCGATCATGCTTAACGGTTAGTGGCTCTGGCGGCACCGCTGCTGGGTCATGGACAATGCCAGACAGCCAGTGCTCACAGGAAGTGCAAGGTGATGAAAACTCCTAGATGGCGAATATGCGGATTACCAGGCCTCTCCGCTTTTGTCCCGGAGGAGATGCGGGCTTTCTACCCCTCCCTCGCTGTCTGGCTGGAGCTCCAGGAACTGCCATCAAAGCCAATACCCAATTGAATAGGCAGTACTCTTGAATTTGTTATAGGGTAGAAGTGTAGGGTTTAGGGTTGAGGGTTTAGGAGTATTGCATTGTTCAAGGGTACTGGGGTCCCCGGTTACAAATGCCTCGCTTACAGGAGTTGCAAAAATCCCACTGACATGTCAGTGTCTCGGCCCCAAACCGAACCTCAATTCCCGAACAGATATCTACGAACTTTCCCTAAACACTCAACCCCAAAACCCTAAAAACCCCTAGAACCCACCTAAACCCTAAACCCTAAAAGCCCTAAGCCCTAAAGCCCCCAAAACCCTGAAACTTCCTCAGTCCTACAGTTCAAAACTGAACCCTAAATCTAATTCTAAAGCCGAGTTGTTAAACCCGAAGACCAAGCAAAGTCTCATCATTAATGTAGGGGCCTTAATAATTAGAGTAGGGTTTTGGGGGCTCCTTATTTTAATTAAATTATGTATCCCAAACCCAATTCTGATTATTTAGGCCCCTATATTACCACGCCTCGGTGCTAGGACTCAACTCCCGGCCCAGTGGTTGACGGAATACCATGTGGAGCACGATACCTGAATCCAGAACCCACTGAGCTTCAGCCCGTTTCGGTCAGTCATGATGTTCCACAACGCAGCCTGCTCAACCAACCCGTCAGCTCCGGCTTGCTCTGCTCTTGCTAGAGAGCCTAAACGACGGATCACAACGAGGGAAGCACACCGTTTAAATACGATACCAAACGCCACGGGTAGCGATTTTAGCAGCCTAAAGCCCACAGCAAGAGCCGAGCCGTGGCAGAAGCGTCTGGACGAGGTAGCATGCTAAAGATAATGCCTTACGATTGGTGAGCCTTAAAACTGGAGTGAAGTTTACACACTCAACAGCTGAAAGCCTCACGCAGAGATATTGGAAACCCGAGCGGGATTTCAATGCGATGGAAAAATACCCAGGAAAAAAAAAAACATCGCTTCGCGATGGTTGCAACTGGGATATCCAACTTCCTGTGACCACAATCCCAAACCCCAAACCTAAGCTTCTACAACTTCCTGTAACCACCATCACTATGACAATGTATGGTTCAGGCTGTAAGACTGTAGGCAACTCGAGACCAAAGCTGACCAGTGCTGCCGTTAGACTTGATGATTTCAAACGACTGGCATATCTGCCAAATCAAAGCGCAGTCCAAAAAATCGGCCACAAGGCTATATGAGTGCCTGCTTCAGTAGAATAGGGTTCGGGGGTAGATCAAGGAACCCTAAGGAATGAATAATCAGTCTTATTCGCGGTTACTTGTTCAGGCCTCTTTGTCAAGCCAGTTGCCATGGAACTCTCGGGGCCGTGTCCACTCAGTGTCGGCCCCGGTTTAGGGTTTTAGGGTTTAGGGTTTAGGGTTTAGGGTTTAGGGTTTAGGGTTAAGGGTTTAGGGCCCCTCTGTGAGAATTGACTGCGCTTTTCAGGTCGGACTATCTTTTGAAAGATGTCTCTCTGCAAACCCGAAACCCTAAACTATACACCGCATCCCCAAGCAGCCCCAGCATAGGTTCCCGCTGCAAGTGGCAAGCATGCATTCAATGACACATCATCTCAATGGCTCGCCGGGCTGAGACAGTCCTCTCAGCAGCCTCGAGAGTCCACACCGTCTCGCGATGGGAGCCTTCCTTATCTGCTTTCCGCGCGATCTCAAGCGCCGAGCGGCCCCGGGATGTCTTCTGCTTGGGATCTGCTCGCGCCATGAGAAGAATGATGATGATACTCTCTTGGCCACGCTTGGCTGCGACATGGATGGGGCACATGGACTCTGGCCTGTTGAAAAGAAAACAGCCATTGGGACTGGGCACCTGCTGCTCGTTCACATCCATCTCCCGAAAGTTGTGGTACCGCAGCCAAGGGCTTATCTGCTTCAATGCCTTCATCTGCACCAGCTCTCTCTTTCTAAGACCGGCCATCGCGTCGATGTCGACCTCCTCATCGTCAACTGGCTCCTGGCAAGATCAAGATGGTTTCGCGGAGATATTTCTAATTGATATTGATATGGTTGTCAAATGCTCATCAGACCCCTATACCATCTCTCCTTGTCCTTCTCATGCTGCTCCGTGCGCCATCGACTTTCCAACTTTGGCGTAGGAAGGATCTGGCCCTCCCCAGAGATCATAGAGCCCGGTAGGCTTGTGGAGGTTCCGGCATGGGCGCACAAAGCCATGACAGAGGTCACTGCAATACCCAA